TCTCCTCGTCCGGTCGTACAATGACCACTTCGGCCAAATCGCCTGCCTTCAAGGCTCTACCGAACTCTTCAAGGGATATCTCGTCCAGCTCAAGAAGAGCATCTACTGCAGTCGTAGCATCGGGGTGGACGTTGCCATCTTCCTCCCCCGTTATACCGTTGACGAGGGTGTATAACTGTGCAACATTATCTACGGTAGACACACCCTGAATCAGGGTCGACACCCGGCGTCTTTCAGCCAGCATACGGCGTCACCATCGCCTCGGTGAGACCAGGGTGAACACGCACTCCGCGTCGTCCGGTGTCAACCTCAATTTCCGCTACTTTGGAGCTCCGATGTTATCTACAGCATCCGACGAAGAACTGCTAACCCGCAGTCTTCGTCCAGTGGATAACGTGCCACTCCACGCGCATCTGAAGGGCCGTGCCCAAGAAGCCTCGGACTCTGTCCGACCACGCCATCAATGGCATGCAGCGACTGCCTTGCAACGAGAGCAGCGTTCAGTGGCTTTCATGCCGCTCCACACACATCACGAGGGCCTCGCCCTCGATGCACCGGACTCTGTCCGACCATGTCACGCATGACATGCAGCGACTGCTTCGAAACTTGAGCAGCGCTCAGTGGGCTACGTTCCACTCCACGATCAGCCCGCGAGCCACGCTCGAGACTCCTTTCCGATACACCGTTGGTGTCTACCAACTCGGACATTCCAATGTCCAGCACGTTGACCGTCTCGGTCTAGTGCTCTCACCAATAGCGCTTTTGTCTCCTGGCAGAGGTGGGTTCATGACTTGACAAAGCTCCACCAGGAGACGTGCGCGTAGCGCCCAAGGTCTTTGACCTCGAATCAATCCATGGCTCATGGTGTTCCAACCATACCATTCCTAAATTGAGGTCATACCTTGCAATCAAGTCTACGTCTAGACAGCGTTCTACGCTATCAAAGTCAAGGAGCTTGATTTTGAAGTCCACAGGGGCCTTCAGGACCGTGACACGTGTTTTCGTCACTAGGCGAACAGTGACGATGTTACCCAACCGCGCTTTCAGCGCCTCAGCATACAGCTGACTTTTTCCATCGTGGAGCGTCGAGCATAATTGCCCGACGCCCTGGAATCGATGAGGATTC